ACGATACCTACCCCACAAAGCAGTTGAGAGGATTAAATGAGATAATTATATAAAATATCTAGCGCAGATCCTCAATACAGGGCAGCCGTTATACTTATTCTTTCTTCCTTTTCTCGGACATTGTGTTCTTCCCTCCACTGTGACTGATGAGACAGGGACAAGGCTGGGGCTCCAAACAGGGACTGCTCAGGAGCAGGACATGAAGAGCGTGGCTGGGTTCATGCCCAGGCACAAAACATGATGGACTAAGGAAATCAGGGAGCTGCACCGGAAGTTGTGTGTGGGAGTGTCCAGGAGGATGCTGTAAGGAGCTATGGACATGCTCTAGTTGTGATGAGTTCGTGGAGTGAGTATAATAGTACTAACAGCACTCATTCCATAACGGTGACCAATGTATAGTCCCGGAAAACTCACCACGTGTCCGGTCCTGTGCTCAGGTCAGCTTACTGAGACCAGCCCTGATCCGCACGGGCCACAGTATCTCGTCTGACATTCTCAACGGAAAGTCTCTGAAAGCCAACGTTGTGCAGTAATCGATTCAGCAGCAAAACCTGGCCTGTGCTGACATGAGGTTATTCGCAGTCTTTGTTTCTCTCACTGAGAGTGAATATTCATTCATTTCGCTATAGAAATCTTAGTAGTTGGTCGTGGGTGTTTCTTAGACCCCACTGTGGGAATGCTCCATTCTAAAAAGTCTCCAAATTCCAAAATTCACCTGGCCCCCGGGACTGCAGATAAGGAGGGGCCATTGGAAGGAGCTGATGTTTATTGAGAACTTGCTATGTGCCGGGTTTATTTATTTCATAAAAAACAAAAAATGCCTCCCAATAGTCGTCAAAGGCATTTACAGATATTGTCTTTCCTGCTCTGTAGTTGAGGCATCTGAGGTCCAGGAGAGGTCAAGGCACTCAAGGGCACCCCCTAGTGACGGTGAACTTGAACCCAGGCAGGCTGGAGCTGGGAAGGGTTTGCATGATTGCTACACGTACGGCCTCACTGACATTATTGCAATTGTCATCCTCATTCTATAGATGAGCACTTTGAAATGAAAGACTGAGCAATTGTATCCAAGACAAAGTGTCTGTGTGGTCTTGGGCATGTTATTTAACCTCTCTGTGCCTCAGCCTTCCCCTCTGTAACGTGGGGCGATGATAATGCACACGACATAGACTTGTTATGCGGGTTCAGCACGTTGAAAGCACCAGAGCAGCGCCTGACATACCCGATACAATCAACGTGTCTCAGCTCTTAGTAGCAGTACGGCGAGGCCATGCGGACCCTCAGGAGGAGGAGGACATGGCGAAAGTCAACGGTTAGTCAAAGATTTCCTATAGAAGAGGTGAAAGGTGATAATGTTTTTCCAGTGGTAAATCAGTGTTTCCCTCATTTTCTGTCCCCTTGTCCCAGGTGCTGGGTGGCTGCCCTGTCTGTCGAATCAAGGACACGTCTCGCTTCAGAGCACTGGCGGGCACAGGACAAAGAGGACTTTTATTCCCTGTTGAGCCCTCAAGCTGACATTTCTAATCCAATGGCAAGAATCCCGTCACGCAGCCATGCTTTGCTGGAGAAGGCGTGCTCCACAGATTCCAAGGCCGCTCTCTGGATCAGAGGCCCCGGCCGGCGGCTCCACCCCCGCAGTGCTGTCTTCAGAAGGAGCCGGAGCACGGGGCGCAGAGAGGGTTCTTCACGCCGGGGGTGTCCTCGTCACCGGAAAGGGGTTGCCTTCACTAGGAGGAGTGGGGTTTGAAAACTGGAGGAGGCGGCGTGGGGGAGTAGAGGTCCAAGCGTCACCTCCGTGGGTGCCGACGCCCTGGGAGCGAGGACAGTGATTCGGCCAGCTCCTGGGGGAAGCCTTGTATCCGGCCTGTGCTGGCCGCGTGGTCTCCGGGCGGAAGAGCAAGGTCTGAGGACGCGTTTGGGGGTCGCCTTGAAGGACCCTGCATCCGGTGGCATGGCGAGGAAAGTCCACCTGCGTTCTCTATCTCCCACAAGGGTCACAGTTGCAGGCAATCCGTAGAACAGAAAAGAGCCACTGTGGGGACCTTGGACAAGCAACAGGACAATATCCACAGGCATCCACAGCAGGTGACACCAAGGAACAAGACCAGACGGGGAAGGCCTTGGTGGCGCTGGTACAGGCCACTCAGTGAGGAGCGAGGGAAGGAAAGTTCTAAGGCAGAATGTGGTCCAACAGCTCTGTCTACACACCATGCGGGCGGGACCCCGCAGCCAGGTGCTGAGGAAGAGGAAGGGAAAGAGAAGTATCCGTGAGAGGGAGAAACAGGGAGACTAACCTCTAATTGACTCTGTGGTTTTGTTCGTTTGTTCGTTTGTTTTTGCAGAAATATATATATATATATATTTTTTTATCCTCACCCGAGGACATTTTTCCATTTTTTGTTCAGGTAGAGTGGGAGGGAGAGAGAGGAACAGAGAGAGAGAGAGAAACATCGATGTGAAAGGAACACATCGAGTGGCTGCCACCCGCACAACCGACCAGGGCAGGGGACAAACTGCAACCAAGGTACATGCCCTTAGCGGGAACCGAACCCGGGTCTCTCTGGACCGCAGGCCGATGCTCTAACCGCTGAGCCAAACCGGCCAGGGCTGCAGAAATATTTTAAATCAAAAGAAGCTGAGTTAATCTGATTTGGCCAATTCTATTCTATTTTATTTTTTTCCTGCTAGTAGAAGGCATTAGACCCGAGGATATGTGAGGTTAAATGATAAAGCTACCCACTTTAAATTTTTTTACAGCTGAATGTACATTTCAGATCTATTCTACTTTGAAGGTACTAAATCCCGGGATTTTCTAAAACCAAACTCCATTTTAAGTTTTGTCAGAATTTGGCCACGAGCTATAACAGGGATGTGTAGTTACGCTCCCTCTATAAGCAACCAGAAAAGTGGACAAAGTTTAGGAAATAACTCTTTTAAAATACTTCATGGTAGGCAGCACGGGGCAGTGATCCTGGAGGAAAGAGAAACCGACGAGGGAGACCTACCTTTGCCAGGCTTCCTCCCTGGGAGAAATTCCCACTGCAGCACAGGAAGGGGAATGTAAACCACGCCACACATACCCAATCTAAACACTGAGTATGTCAGTGAGCGGAGGAGACAGAAACCATCCTTCTGGGAAGCAAGACTCCTCCCTACCCCTCTGGGCCCTAACAGCAGCCCAGCTGTGCGGGGGTTATCACCACTTCCTGACCCCAGCCCTGGGGGTGGACACATGGCCTGTCTGCTGCCTTCTATTCTCCTAGGACTTGGATGGTGGGGATGTCAAGTTCCCGCGCCTCCCCTCCTGTTATCCCAGAGGACGATTCCCGTTTCTCCTCTGCCCTCGGTCCGGCTGCTCATGGGTGGGTGGACTGAGGACTCAGAGGGGACGGTACACGGGTACTGTGCACACACACAGCAGATCCTCAGTTAACATCATCCATATGTTCTTGGAAACCGCGGCTCTAAGCCACAAGATGCATAAGGAAACACACATGACAGAAGCAAATCCATAGAAACAAGAGTCAGGGTCCAAAGGTATATTTATGGTCAGACACACAAAAATCAAATTTCTACATAAAGGCCCCAAACACTTCTAAACTGAAAGATGGAAATAAATGTGAGCTACGCAGACGTTTTAGGAAGAGGCCTAAAAGCAAGTTAGACCTGTATTTTCCGACTGATGGCCCCAGGTCAAGGGCCCCGGGCTGGACCCTGTCCCCTCCTGAGCCAGCAGCTCAGGCGACGCCGGGACCCACCCTGGACCAGCCGCCCACGCGGGCCACTCGCCGCCAGCCACCCACACTCAGACGGGGGCAGGGCAGACAGCCGCTCTCCTCCCCGCATGTCCGTGGGATGTGGAAGGAAACCGAACCCCAAGAAAACGCACGTGGGCGTGGGGAGAACATGAGACTGTGGTCCAGGCCAGGGAGTCACTGTTCTCTCATCCAACGTCTAAGGAAAGACGCTGCTGGAGGCCCTACTGGGCCTGGACATTGTGAGCACGTGCTGGAGGGGCCCCGGGGTGGGGCGGGGGACGGCAGGGGGAGGGGCCAGCGGCAGAGGGAGGGAGGGGCCCAGCGCCTCCAATGGGACTTCAGGTGCGCGCAGGTGCAGGTACCAGCAGGCCTTGCGCCGAAGCCCTGAGTGGGCACCCGAAGCTCAGAGCAGACCCAGAGCGACATGCCTTTGGGTCCAACGGGAAACAGAGCTCACCCGGAGGGCCAGGTGGGTGCCCGCCTGCCAGTGTCCCCTGCCCACTCGGCCTCGGCCTCCGGGCTGCTGACCGAGGGCCCACCGGCCTCCTGCCGCCTCACCTGCCCAGGTGGGCCCTGCAGCCCCGCCTGCCTGCCCGGGCAGTGGGGGGGGGGGGGGGGGGATGGGAGCTGCAGTCACGTGGGGCGGGGACTTGCAGACAAGGTGCCCACAGGCCAGGGTGGCCGTCTCGGCAGAGTGGGTCTCCTTCCTGGAGACCAGGAGGATGAGAGCCAAACGGGGCCCGGAGTCGGTGCAGCAGAGCCGCAGCCAGAACAGCTTCGTGAGGTGGAAGGGGACCTCGGCCAGGACAGGTGTGGGGCGCTGGCGAGGGAAGGGACACACAGCCCCAAGTCCGAGGGGCCCGCCAGCCTGGTCACCTCTTGGTCCTTATGCACCGTATTGCCCTGGAGGACAAAGAGGCCCAAAGAGTGAAATCAGGGGTAACTGTACGGGAAGTAAGATAAGGGGCCGTTTTGACACTGAATTTGAGTTAGGACTCTTGTCGACTACCTCGAGCTTGCCCTGTAACAGTAAACTATTTATAAATAAACTATTGCGTCTAGAAGTCTTATCAACACATAAGCCGGGCTTTGTTCTTCCTGTTGCTTTAACCACAGCTTCATGTTTGTCCCCCAATCTACTGGGCTCAACGTGCAGGAACTCGATTAGAATGGGAATAATTTCAGAAATAAACACGAAATAAGGGAGCGTGTCTGTGTGTGACCACAATGTAGATATGTATTGCGATCTTTTTTGTATCATGGTTGACACTTGCAGTCAGTCATACACACAGTACAGAGAGAACTCCACATGAACGGCTCACGTGGTGACATGCTCTCTGTCACACCACAAAATACCTTCTTCATTAAAACCAACAAACTTATGTGAGTCAGTGAATTCCTTGTTCATGAATCTCTTTGGACAGACGCTCCTGAGGCAGGTGAACAAGGAGGCTCAAGGCCATCAGGGTCTGTCCGGTGCTTTGTCAACAGCCAGACTGCACATCTATTGCTCTGGGACAGCAGCTGCTACTCGTGGTGGGGATGTTTCAACTTTTCCTCCATCTAAGAAGAAAGACCGGATTTAAAGGTGTGTGGAACATTGGTTGATTGTAGACAACAAAGCTTAGAATGAGATCTTGGAAAATTTCACACCCTGCATTTGATTTCGAGTAATGCAGACAGAATGCGAGAGTTCTTGTTTATCTGAAGGGCATCTTCTTACGGGACCATTTATTTGACTTTGCTGTGGTCAGGGTCGGTGCGAGGATTCAGGGAGCTGTGGACTTCACAGGATTGGAAGGGCCTTCAAGAGTGAGCAAGGTAAGGTAAGGGTGTCTCCACACCTTCTTTTCCAGAAGGCGGAGGAGCAAAAGTAACCGATTAAAGCACACATAGGAAGCCTGCTTTTTGTTCCCTGTTTACCAAGATGGTCTTTCAGATTCAAGGTTGCAACACTTTAAATGAAAATATACATAAGCCAACATCTCACCTGTCTGAAACAGGTAAGTACTGTTAAATGGCTTTTAGAGCAAAGGACAAAGGTCAGGAGTTTGGTGGTGTCTTTAGCTACTTTCCCAATAGCTAGTCTTTCCCATTCAGAATAATCCAGAGCAATGTACTAAATCAAGGCAAGTAACTGATTGTTTGAGCCAGGTGATAACTGGAGAGTTATAAGAGTTTGACTCATATATGGTTATTGTGTGTATAAAGGATATGTTTTATGAACCTAAATGATGTGTGATAAAATCTCATAAACATCTTTAGAAGTACTCAAATCACTCAAGATTAGATTGTGAACCTTTAATTGAAATTTCCCCACATGTGCTCTTAGACTTCCTGGTAGATTTCTTGGAACCCTGAAAGTTTCTGTGCAACAGTTTTCCCAAGACTCTGACGCAACAGTTACATCACTTAAGAATTCAATCAGTAATTGTATCTTTATACTGGATACACTCCCATTACAAACAGTTTATAAACACACACACAAACACACATACTCTCATACATAAAAGACTCCATCCCTCATAAACTATTTTCTCTTACTCATAAGACAAGACTGAGTGCTATTAATAATCAAATAGTTCACCAAAAAGCTCTTAGGGAGAAACTTTGGATTCACCGGGAAATAATTATGTCTTAAACCTTCAGAAAATTCTCAAGCTACAATTCACCCTTAAGTTGAAAGAATGGAGAAATTTAATGCCACCAATTTTTATCTTATTTTTTTTCTCTATTCTATTTAGGAAAAAAACCAATGGAGTGTCTTTCTCTGGTATCATTTTGTATATGATAGTAAGCTTATTTTAACAGCATCACTTATGTTCCCGTTCTTGTACTACACTTCTGAGTTGTTCCTTTACCGTGTGTGTATCTTATGATTTCTCAGTTTCCTCATGGAATGTGCTATTTTATTTCTAGGTATTTAATCATATATTTTTAAAATATTTTTTCTTTATTGATTTTAGAGGGAGAGGAAGAGAGAGGGAGAGAGAGACTGAAACATTGATGGGAGAGAACATCAATTGGCCATCTCCTGCATGCCCCCCACTAGGGATCAGGCCCACATGTGCCCTGACTGGGAATCGAACCAGCGACCTCTTGGTGTGTGTGTTGACGCTCACCCAGTAAATCATACTGGCCAGGCTATTTGATTATATTTAAATGCCGTATTCTTTTCTGCTCAAATAGTAACTCAGTTTTCTAATAGTTCTGCAGAGGAAGTAAGCAAATTCTCATAGTTTGAAATGTTGAAATGTGTCTTCAAAACATTCATGGGAAAGGAAAGAAGCGCTCTGTCACCTTTTCAGCAGCAACATATTTAAAGGAAGTGGTTCTCCGGCAAAACTTGTTGTGAAGCACTCCGAGAGACAATCTCATCCTAAATCACTCACTCTAAAACCGTATTCCTACTAAACAAGAGCAAAATACATCAAGAAAGTAAGACAAACAACTGTTTCTGAAGCACATCAGATCCTGATACATATTAACAACTATCACCCCATGTCTAACTTAGATTTTTAAATTACAAAGAGGAAATTTGCTTGAGATCCTTCCTACGTTCTATTTGGAAAACTTAGAATGATTTTGGAAGAGGTTATATTTAGATAGGTTTTGCTTCGTAGCTTGAGCAGTAGTTGAGGAAGATAAATAGAAAAGAAGAATCTGCATGGCTCCCCTCTGCCATGCGGGTCTCAGAAATAGCACTCTGTCCTCATGAGCTTCCTGGACTTCTGCAGGGGGACTGCACTGAGGGTGGACAGCAAGGGTCGGAAAGAAGAGAACGCGCTTCTCTTTAGTCTGCTTTGACCCATCAGCCACTGAAAGACCAAGTCCGGCCTTTTCTACCTGCAGCGTCTTGAAATGAATCTGTCAGTCAGGCCCCCTGACAGTTACAAACCGATAGCCTTTGGGTCATCTTGGAGTGGTTTTCTTCCTTGACTTAATTTTGTTTTATTTATTTATTTATCGCTTAACTTATTTTATTTTAAATATATTTTTCTTTATTGACTTTAGAAAGAGGAAGGGAGAGGGAGAGAGATAGAAACATCGATGAGCGAGAACATCGATTGGCTGCCTCCTGCACGCCCCACATAGGGGATTTGGCCCACAACCTGGGCATGTGTCCTGACTGGGAATCGAACTGGCGACCTCCTGGTGCAGGGTCAACGCTCAACCACGGAGCCACACCAGCCGGGCCCAATTCCTCCTTTGTAATACTGCTCCTTGTTCAGGTGATTTAACCTCTTCCACAGGGTCACACACTTTCCTAACCCTGTTATGGCAATCCCGTTCTTCTTGGCCGTTCATATTTTAGCAGCTAGGAAGTGGAATCTTCTGAGGGACTTAGGGAAAAACTGTCACCCTTCAAAAGAGACACAGAAAAAGACAGTTATTTTACTGGATATGACCTTGTCCAGTTGTGGTGTCAGATTGTCATCCTGAGGACAAGCCTACATCGTGAAGAATGTGACATGAAAAACTAGCAAGGTCCTTAGTCCCCGATGGTGATGACGCCATGAATTAAGCATCCCTGCAGCTGTTCCCCTCGAACTTTCTTACATGAAATGACAAAGGTCATGAGGCCGCAGCTGGCCAGCCAGCGTTTTCTGTTTCTTGTGGTGAAGCTGCCCCGATGAATGCCCTGGGGGACATGCTTCATTAGCGAAGGGTTAGTCCGATGAGGTAGAAAGATCTTTACCTTAGCTTGCCCCGCAGAATACGTGATCTAGAAAGGGGAGAAGAAATTGGATGATGGTAGAAACAGAATAGAATCATTAAGGTGAAATTAAAAATTATATAAAGATGTAGTGGTAGCCTAGGCCAGGTGTCAGAACCTATTCTAAAACATTCATTCAGATAAAACATGTAAAAATGCCAAGCCAGTGTGGCTCAGTGGTTGAGCGTCGACCCCTGCACCAAGAAGTCGCCGGTTCAATTCCCAGTCAGGGCACATGCCCAGCTTGTGGGCCTGATCCCCGGGGCGGGGGGGGGGGGGGGCATGCAGGAGGCAGCCGATCAATGTTCTATATCATCAATGTTTCTTTCTCTCTCCCTCTCCCTTCCTTTCTTTCTAACATCAATAAAGAAAAAAATCTTTTTAATGTAAAGGATATATATGTGTATATATATTATAAATGTATATGCATGTATATATGAATGTTTCCTCTAAGCATGTTCAGATAGTTAATATAGTTTATGCTTCTGACTTGAGTACTTTCATGTTTCTTAAATTGTAAACCTAAATTATTAATGTTGTGTTAATTCAACAGTTCTTATTTACTCATCGTTAGTGACAGGTCTCAATTGAGCTCAGCTTCAACAAAGTTTGAATGTAAATGTATTTCTATGAACTAAACTCCTTTTATATAACTGATTTGTTTTGAATCTCAGTATAGCATAGGCTTATATATCACTTAAAGAGACGCATATTTAGAAATGTTCAGTGTGTTTGGTTTACATTTAGGGTCAAAAGAGTTTATTATGATCACTTTTTCATTCCTTTAGAGTCAGGTGTGTGTGTGTGTGTGTGTGTGTGCGCGCGCGCGTGTGCGTGCGCGTGTGTGTGCGTGTGTGTGTGCGTGTGTGCGTGTGAAACCTTCCTAGTTCAGCCTCTCTGTGCCATTCGATTCAGCCATGAGAAAGGTTGTAGTACCTTGTCCCATCATCTGACAGAAACTTTAGATGACAAACGAGAAATTGTACAGGAGGAACAGGAATGTATAAATGTAGTCTGGGATAAGTTAGATAAATTGCAGGTAACTTCTCTGAAGTCCCACATCCTAGACTATAAATAGGTGTTTAGTCCTGGAGAGGGTTGGGGGGCGGGGGGCAGAGTGGTGGCTAAGCAGTAGTGTGCCCACCACTCGGACCCAGGTGGCCATGTCCAGCCTGCCACCTAATTTGTACGGTCTGTGAGCTAAGGTTATAACATTTTTAAGTGCTTGAAAAAAATGACAAGATACATTGTGACACGAGAGAATTTAATGAAAATAAAATTTCAGTTTCCATGAATAGTTTTATTGGTATAGAACAATGCTCATTTATTTGCATATTATTTATGGTGGCCTTCAAATGAGGAAGGCGGAGTTGAACACTTGCCATAAAGATTAAAATATGTCCTATCCAGCCCTTCACGGAAACAATTTGCTGACCTCTGGCCCAGATGGGTGTTTCTCAACCGTTGATGCACATGTGAAGCTTCTGGGGACCTGGTGAAAGTGTGTGACCAGGATCCGGTGGGTCTGGGGGACCTGGGTGTCCATTTCTAACGAGCTGAGGACAACACTCTTGGTACCAAGGGCCCAGGGCAGGATCAGCGAGCGCATTCTTTCAAGGGCCAGATAATGAACATTTCAGGGTCTACAGGCTATCGGTCATCTTCACAAGCGCTCGAGTTTCAGGGGGAAGCGAACATGGGCTGGTGGGAAGGAACAGGACTGTGCGCCGGTCAGCGCTCATCTGCAGCAGCAGGCACTGGGCTGGCCCCGCCCACGGGTTTGGTTCGCCGTCGCCCTCCTAGAGTAACAGGATGAGGTGTCCTTGAAGAAATAGGCCTGGTGCTACCCTCCGCTTGCTGACGAGTCCCACTGCCCAGGAAGGATGATGAAGAGATAACGATGAACTGGACAGTGGTAGGTTAAGCACCCTGAGCCTTCTCTTGCTAATCCTCACAAATCCTCAGAAGCAGATCCTGTTGTCATCCTTGCTTACAAGTGAGCAAACTTTGGAGAAAACCAGGGGTGGGCCTGGGATGAAACGTGGCCCATGGTTACGGATGACTGTGACTCCCGGATGACGGGTCAGAGCGCACCCCCCCCCCCCCCCCCCCAGGAGGCCGCAGCCGGAGAAGCAGGCCGGGACCAGCCTGGCTTCCCGCGTGGGCCTGGTGCTCACAGACCTGCACGACGCAAGCGAACATCTCTGCAGAACCAACCTTGCCCGTGGTGTCAGGTAACTGGACGCTGGTTCCGGGAGGGCCGAGGTTTCCGTCTGAGGACAGATC